GTGTGTGAGTGTGTGTGTGTGTGTGTGTGTGTGTGTGACATCTCATTCAAGACCAGCATTCCAGAGCTAGATGAGTGCTTCACGATTACACTGTGTGTGTTATAACACTCTCTTCAACATGTCTCTGTTTTCTGTCTCCAGCATCGCTGCTATCGATTTATCGTCATGAAGCTTCTTCCACTTACTGTTGAGATCCACTGTGTCTTCCTGCAGCATCCGTATCTACAGCTGAACAGATATCAGAGCCCACATGAGCAGAAAGGCTCAGAGTCCTGCTGCGCAGACTGATTTGGTTTAATGGCTGTCGGTAGAGATGTGCAGTACATGCCTTTACATGGAGATTAATGGGATAAAGCGTATGCTTCATGTTCTGTTCAGAATCAGAAAGACCCAGAGGTGCCTTTTATAGCTCAAAAACATATCTAAAGCTGAGCTATCACGTCAATGCTACTGCTTCATAACTTCATGTTTTAAAAAGTCTGTAAAAAAGGACCAAAAAAGAAAATGGTCATATTTATATTTTTCTGTATCTTATTTTCCACAGGTGTTTTGCTTGTATATTTAATAATGCATTGCATTGTGTTGTGTTTTAGGGTTAAAGGAAATCATGTATTTTTGTCTTCTTACAGGGTTTGATGTGATTGTTAATTAAATTGAAATCCCCTAAACCTAAATATTAAATGTGGGCATGCAAAATATTTTTGCTTTCACTTAATTGCATGCTATTTGCAGTTAAACTAAAATGTAATTTTAAATTTATATGAAATGCAATTAGTTACATTTAAGAGTGTTATTTTAACCCATTTAAGTGGGACTTATACATATACATATTTATATGTAATTTCATTCTTCTATTGTCTTTAAAATATGTTTAAAGTGTACTGCCAAATGTATAAATGTAGCCATATGTAGCATATATATAGTAAACTACAATACACTTTAATGCCATTTCTATTAAAACTTGTATGTCATGTATTTAAATATATTTGTAATTACACATTTGTAATGATGACGCTGTCATTTTGTACAATTCAATTAATTTAATTCTAATATCAAATAACACACTAGGTACAAATCTTTATTTAATTCACATGTGCTTTAAGTATGTTAGTCAAAATAAGAGTACTTAAAAGCACAAAGAAATATTATTAAAATCATTTAAGATGTGCTTGTAAAATAAATTGTGAAAAAAGTGAATTAGGTGTGTTGAAACAGTCAGGAAAGCAAACTCTTTTCAAGTATAAGTGGCCTTATATTTCATTATTATATTATCTGCAAGTTTAACAATATATTTTTAGATCTGAAGTTCACTACAAGTGCACATTCAATACACTTAAGCTCCCTTCTTTTTCACGTGGGCATGTTTTTGCTAGGGTCAAATTGACCCCATATGTAAATGATTTTACTTTTATGGACAATCGCCTTTCTGAAAATTTGGACTTCACATATGAAGTCAATCTCAACAGAATCATGCGGCTCTCACTAGAAAAGCTACAAAACCACTAGATGGTGATATTGCACTTACACTCATAACACCAGGCTGCTGTCTGAAACATAGCTCTTACTCTCATTCGAAGTCAAATATTATCTTCTGAAACAGATGAATGTATGAAATTGTATGAAATTAAAACAAGATTTACAAAAATCTCCCAGAACGATTGCCCCTGATCTAATCAGAGGAGCATTAAGAGACGAGATTTAACGCTCTCATTCCATCTGATCGAAGCCTTCAGACACTCATTCAGTCATAAATGACCATTCATCACTGAGAGCATTTGTTCAAGCTGCTGTTATCTTTCATAAATATTTACTTCCCCTGGTTAAAACCTCCCCTTCACACCTCCAATAGATACGGGTCGTAGAGACGGCAATGGAGAGAATGGCCCGCTGTAAACAGCCCAACAAAAGAAACAAACCATGCCTGCGCTCTTCAAACAAACCCCACAATTGCGTGTGTGTTGGTAATCACAAGCTATTCAAGTATGCAAATACTGCAAGTACAAAAAGAAGGACGGGAAGCATCGTGGGACTTTTTTTCAGTGTGACACAGCTCTTTTGATGAAGTCTTCAGGAGTTGCCGGATGAGAGACAGATGCACTACTGTAAACTATCCTGCGTGTGAGGAAACAAAAACACAACTTCAGCAGGCCTTTGGAGGCTTGACTGTGAAGTTTAGTGTGCTACCTAGTGCATAGACGCATACGTGCATTTAAATGTTTGGACACAATCTTAAAGGGCTTACATGAGGGTTACTACACAACCTGAATTTCAGAGAAAAAATGAATTCAAAAACAGGCATTTCAGTTTTTTCAGTAGGCTATTCTTATTTGATATTTGTTGTCATGAGGACTGGTTTCAATTTTGATCATAATTGTATTCACATTCCTTTTTGACCAGTGAAATGATGCCCAGAATGCTGTCTAGGAAGACAGATCACTGGGTTTTGAGACATAATGCCTATTATCACGTCAATTTGACCATGCTTTTTTGCTGCTTTTTCTGCACATTCTGCAATATATAGATTCAGTTATTATCAGTAATCTAATTTTATAACCCACAGATCAACCAAATGATAGTTTTCAAAGATGGAAAAGTCCATTTTGAAAAAAAAACAAACAAAAAAAATAAAAAATTTTTTTCAAAGTTTAAAACAGCTTTTGTTGTTCAGATATGCAGATATGTCAGTTCACAGATTTATGATGAGTGTGTCTATAAATATATTCAGATGTACACCTGCATATATATATATACAGTATATATACAGTATGTATATATATATATATATATACGTTAGGATGTACAGCTTTATATTCACATATTATCTCTTCGGATTAAAAAATATATATATTCAGATATCCCTATATATTTGGTTCTATATTCTATATAGAAATGTATGTTCAGGGTCTAGAATGATATATTTTAGGATTTAGCGTGACATTTAGATTTATATAAATATATTTGCATTTTTAACTTTAGATTCACAATATTTATACTCAATTATACTATACATAATATAAACTACATAAACTATATATGTATATAGGGCCTACTTCCGATTTATACTCAAGTTTTAACTGTATTTAACTTTTGTGAAAAAAAAAATTTATATCCAAAGTACCACTATATATTTTGGATTTATATTGCCAGATTTGTATGGCCTATTGTATTTAAATATTTATAACTTTATATTCAAAATTGTATATATTGAAAACTTTTTATTTATAACTATATTTTTAGAAAATGTATTTAAATAAAATTTAATTAAACGGTTACACTTTTTTTAGATAGTCCACTTTAGACATTCTACTAACTATGAGTAACTTTGTAACTACATGTCAACTACATGTCAACTAATTCTCATTCATTTGCAACTACATGTCTACTAACTCTCAGAGTAGACTGTTAGGGTAGGTTTAGGTTTAGTAGAATGTTGACAAAGAAAGTGTTAAGCAGACAGTCTACTAATACTCTACTAACTGCTAGCTGACATGTAGTTGACATGTAGTTGCAAAGTTACTTACTGTTAATAGAATGTCTACAGTGGACTATCGAAATAAAGTGTTACCAATTAAACTTAAAACTACAATGTAACTTTAATACTTGAGGCTTTGGCAGTGTAAGGTCTTTGTCATGATGCCACTGAAGCTTGTTGACTCCTGTAAGGACCGTGTGTTTGTGCGCTGTGTCAGAAGAGTGGGCTGGTCTTCAGAGAGAGAGACACTTCACAGCAGTCTGACTCTCACTTCACTCTCAGTCTCTACAGAGGAGAACAGCAGGAGAACAACTCTGGATACCCACTAAGACTAGAAGCCAACTTTGGGACGGGAGAAACTCCGTGAGCACAGAGCCGGATCCGACTGAAGGAATCTAGCCGGAACAACTTCAGTGCACTTTCTCCAAAAAGCTCCCTGCATTTCCATCGTGTGTGTTCTTAGACACGTTTGCGCTGCTGACAAACACAGTCAAAGAACATTTCGATCAAGACACTTTCGCACTGGAGTGATTTAACCCAAAAGAACAAGGTAAGGAACTTCGCGTAAAATTGAGATGTTTTAGGTATTTCTTGACAATAGCTTTTAGTTGCCCGTTCATAGCAAATGCGCGCAGGAGCCGATGCGTTTAAAACCTCTCAGGATCATTTGCACTATTTTGAGACATTGCTCAGAGGTACCTGCCTTTGCATTTCCTAAATGCTTTCAAGCCTCATGAAAGAGTTTGAAACACTTCTGCAGTCACGCGGGGAAACGGAGCGGGACTCCCCGCGCTCTTTGAACCTTCTGCCAGAACAAGAGCGACGGGCTTTTGCGGTCTGCAAACTCCTGGAAGTGAAAGATTTCAAACACCTTTCCATCAAGCCCGAGCTCGCAGGCTCTTTGAATGTTCGTCTGGATCTCAGAGGAGGTGCGATGGGAGTTTTTGGACATTGTGTTGGAGACGCGGTTCCCATGCGCTCCCATCCGCCAGACGCAATTCATCACAACTCGTCCTCGCCCTCTCAATTGTGCGTCTGTTATTCAGTCTTTCAAAGTGTTAAACGTCTCAGTCTCCGCTGAAGGCAAATGCACATAGGGAGTTTTTCTTTAAATATCTGTTGGTTAGGAACTTCTCCAAACAGTAACGCATAAAAGCACCTGCAAGATACGATTTTTTTTGTGGCCCGTGTCTGCACGACTGCTTTACGAAATGAACTGTCCTTTGCTGTTTAGAGAGATGAATGCTTTGACAGGAACAACTTATTGCACAAGTCTGCGTTTTTCTTTGGTTTAAGCAGTGAGTTTGGTTTTATTTCTCAACATCAAGGTTTTAGGTTAATTTTACAGTTTTTTAATGAATAAGAGAAAGTGTATAATTTAGATTGGACTGCTCAATTTAAGTTTCAAGTGGACTAGTTTTTAAAATGTTATTCCCAAAAATCCAAACAACCATAATCTACATTGTTTCACGAATATGTAGTGAAATGAGAAATGTAACATTTGATGCATATTTAGTTGTCAGCACTGATGGCCTGAAAAGCACAACAAACAAATCTCACAAATTCCATTTTAATGTTTACTTAAATGTGACCCTGGAGCACAAAAGCAGTCTTAAGTCGCTGGGGTATATTTGTAGCAATAGCCAAAAAAACACTGTATTTTATAAAGAACAATAATTTATTTTCTGTAAAGAACCATAAATCAATGGAAAGCTTATTTATTCCGCTTTCAGATGATGTATAAATCTCAATTTAGAAAAATGTACCCTTATTACTGGTTTTGTGGTCCAGGGTCACAAATGATCCTGCAGTGTGTCAAATACATTTTTTAAAAGTACAAATATTCTGTGTGTATTAATGTAAGCCTATAAAAACTGCATGATGAATAATCATTATATGATAATAAAAGTAGCTCTTTAAAGATTAAAAAGTATTGCATGTCACTTGCTTGAAATTTCAGATCAGCTACCCATCTGCAGCATGCAGCGAGATCTCGGTCCTATTTGCATCCTTTTCTTTTTGAATTTGAATAGTAAATTGTGTTGGATTTTTTAATCTCTCCGATGGGATTGCGAGGATTAGTCTCCTATCAGACACAAACAACTACGAAGTGGATTGCTGGCTACCTGATGTGGCTCCTGGTGAGAGTGATACTTTTCTCTGGGCCGGGAGACGTAATGAAAGGCAGACTCAGAATGAGGGAATTTGAATAACTGTATTTAGTGGCGAGGCCAAGCTGCACTGCCTCCCATCCTCTCTCGGAAAGAATGAAACAGGAACAAAAGTCTAAGAACTGGAAGGTCTGTGTTGCATAGCGTGTCTAAACCCTTATTTGCATATGAAAACTCTGGCAGCGAAAGAATTCTGCCACTGTTGCAATAGCCATTTGTGTGTCCGACGGAGTGACAGTCCGATGCGGAGATACAGTCGTCCTCACGCTGGACTTTGTGGGGTCTGACGTGACTGTGTGTCATGTCCTGTTGAGGAGAACCAGGGATTTAATTGCAGCTTTTCGAACGTTTTGTGACCCCCTACTCTTTCATTTCCATATCTGTTTGTTCGCAAAGCTTCAGAGCTCAAATTCAGTTTGAGATGGTTCATTCAGTGCATCCTGTTGGCGAAACACGCAAACAACGCTGCTCACATAAGATAATTTTCGTTCTTGGTAGGTAGATGATAAATAAACGGCAGTGGCTTCTTTATTTCCCAGCATGCCCGTTTGTGCGCTTCCTTAGATATGCTCGTATGGGTGGAGTGAGGAGGACAAATTGTCCCTCAAGTCTGTGAATATCTGTGAGATCTCAAATTCTTCTCACAAAGACAGCAATGAAGTGAACATCAGTCAGGGGCCTTCCCATTCAATGGTCTGTTTGTGCGGCACTTGGAGAAAGTGGCCCTTACACCCTCAGCACAGCTGCTGAAGAACATTCCCAAACATTGTACTAATTGGGAGTCCTGAGATAAAGATCTGTTTGAGGATACTTAGAGTGGGACATCTGGACACTCTTGAGTAGGTTTGACTTTATTAATAATCGCCTGGAGACGTTATACTTCACAGCTACTCTGTGTCTGTCTCAAATGTGCCTCAAAAACACAAATATCGTCAACGATTTTACTCAACAAATGCCGTTCTGGGTCCTTGCCAAAGTAAACAAGCAGCAGACAGCCAAGTGTCCACGGTGGAGTGCTGGACTTCAGCTCTCAAAACCGGCTTCTAACAATTAGTCATTGTGCCATTTGGCTGTCCAAGAGCACCAGTGCAGCTCAGGATTGGCATACAGACAGCCAAAGTACATGTCAAGCACCTCAGCTCTAAAGTGCTGATCTCATTTATAAGAAATCATAACATTTGAGGTGAGAAGGACACATAGTGGCTGTTTGCGTGCACACTCATTCATTTTTCAATACAAACCAAATACCACATAATGAGGTAATTGAGACACAGCTGATACTGCCGTGTATGTCCAACGCTGTTCCTGGAGGGACAATGTCCTGCAGGGTTTAATTCTAAATGGCCCCAACAAACATGCCTGTGGCTTTTAACTCCAGTCCTGGAGGGACAGTGTCCTGCAGACTTTATTTCTAACCCTAATTTAACACAACTGTCTCTAATTTGTAACATAGTGATTAGCATGTTTGGGGTGTTTGATTAGGGTTAAACTCATCAGGACACTGGCCCTAGAGTTGAAGAGCCCTGCCATGTACTCTTATTCACTATTGCCTACAATACTCATCTAATACAGTCTTTCCCAACCATGTTCCTAGAGGCCCCCAACATTGCAGTTTGCATGTGTCCTTAATCCAACACACCTGATTCAACTCATCGAAGCCCCCCAGTACTGCACATTTTGCATGTTTCCTTAATCAAGCCTGGTTCAGGTCATCAGCTCGTTAGTAGAGACTCTTAGACCTGAAATGGATGTGTCAAACAAAGAGGACATGTAAAATGTGCAGTGTTGAGGGGGCTCCAGGAATGTGGTTGGGAACCACTGCTCTAATTCAGTCCACTGAATGAGTGAATGAAAACAAATGAGTGAATTCGGACACTGAGGGCACCGGTAATGCTGAAGATGGCATCTTCTGGCAAGATGAAGTAATTAATTTGCATGATGCTCACAATGCGTGGGTTTTCTCTAGCTACTAGCCTAGTCATTAAGTCTACATAAGTTGTACATTCATTATTGAGGTGCATTATGGGACTGAATCACTGCAGTCAATAATATACACTATAGTTCCAGACACCACTACTAATGGCTGTCCCCTTGAATAGTACACTACATCAGTGGTCCCCAACCACATTCCTGGAGCCCCTCAACACTGCACATTAATCAAACACACCTGATTCAGGTCATCAACTCATTAGTAGAGACTCCAAGACCTGAAATGGATGTGTGAGAGAAAGGAGACATGCAAAATGTGCTGTGTTGGGGGGCTCCGGGAGCATGATTGTGAACAACCTGCACTTCATAAGGTTATAATATGTGATTTTGGATACAACCTGGTCGTTTCTAAGAATCCTAAAGACCTTGATTTGCAGGTAAAGGTGTGTTTAATTAGAATGGGAGCCAAACTCTGCAGGATAGTGTCCCTCCAGGAGCAGGACTGGACATGTCGCAAATTATGAAAACTAAACTAAAATAGAGATTTTTATTTAATGTGGTTTTGAATCTGGTTTATGAATATCATATTTGAATGGGTTATACCAAAACAAAAAAAAAAGATTGCATAGCTTGGCCTATTGGTGTAGCAGGACGGGGATTGTCAGAATAGATGGACTAACCACTGACTCTTGTCAGAGCTGCACTGAATAAAACTGCTCTACAAAATCCAACATTGTCCCCATTGTGTTCCACTGTTGAGGTTGGTTTCTTTTCCCCTGTCTCATGCTTTCCAGCTCTGGCTCCGTATGTATGCATGACAGGGCCGTGAGGAGCCCAGGGGACGGAGCTCACAGTAAATGTCTGTTCAGAGGTTTCGGGAAGCGCTGACAGAAGCTGAGGGAAACTCACGCATTCTCCAGTTTCAGGGCGTCGTGCCTCTGTTGAAACAGAATCTGAAATGTTTCCCTTATCTCGGTGGAAATGAAGGCTTTTGCAGCTCTGGTGTGATATAGGAGAGTTCACATATGTGACACTGAGCTCCATAGGGAGGAGAGTCAGTATGGAGGCAGTATGTGTGTGTGTAAACGTGCAGTCATACATGTTTAAAAAGCGACTGAGACAGAAGTGACACCCCCACACAGGTTAGCGCGGTAATGATGGCACTCCGCTGTTTGTGGCCCGGGCCGCTGCGGTTTGATTGACAGGTGGTAGCTGCTCTGGTGATATGTGTTTTCACCCTGTCAGTAGTGCTGCTTTTCATGCACCATACATGTGCTACTCATCTATGTGTGTGTGTGTGTGTGTGTGTGTGTGTTTCCCTGACTGAGCCTGTTAGTCCCTGTCTCACCCTGAATTGCACGTTAACACTTCCTGTGGCAATTAATCAATCTATTATTTGACTGATTGAACCATTTAACGACAGGCTGATAGAATTATCTGCTTCTAATTGTTGATCAATCAGTCAGACTTTGCTGTTGCCTAAAGCCTCTAGACTCCCAGTGGAGATGAATGGTTATATTCTCTGATTTGGATAAACATATTTTGAAGAGAATGAGATTTCTGTCTCTGGAGAGATAATTAGAAGAATTGTAACCAAAGGAAATCCAGAGTGGAATGCAGCCAGATGTTTCTGAAACACCTTACACAAGATTCTTGTAAGGCATTTGTGTTGCAGAATTATCTCTAATGGTTCATTAGATCGTAGAACGATAATCAAGGAGGTTAAAACGAGGTAAATGACTTAAAGTCGCAGAGTAAGCTGTTTAAATAGCACCATCGCATTGTCGTTTTACTCGCATTTTGAGGACGATAATTCAAACATTACAGCTTGTTGCGTTCAAAGGGTTTAAGCTGTTTAACATTATGAACTTGACTCTACGACCTTCCCCGCAACACACTCTCTCCCGAAACCACTTCAAGGTCCAATTCATCACACATCTTAGATTTGTACATGGTGCATAAGTGATGCAGGACCCGAATGAACCCGTTTCCGTCACAGGAAAAAAGTTTGGTAAAAACAAATGAATGCACCCACTTGTGTAGAAACTTCATGCTAAAAATGTGAAAAAAGTCTCTACAGGTCTCTCATAATCATAGCCGACACAGCGACATTGCTGAGAGATACATTAGTGTCGCAGATATTCATGATGCATGCAGAAGCTCGGTTCCAAAAAACTAGGTAGCTTCCTTCTAAGGGTCCTTTCACGTTCATGCATTAAAAAAAAAAAAAAAAAGGAGCAAAACAAAGTTGACACAATTGCGGCTGACTCTGCCTTCAAATTATCCTCCCCCAAATTACGATCAGACATTCTCCCCAGCTCTAATTAAACATTAGCTTTTATTTGTTCCAGATGGGGCTTTGTTTTGAAGTTTTATTTTAGAAAGAGTCTTGCTTTCTGCTCTGGGAAACACAACTGCATCCAAACCTGACAAAGTTGCAGAGGCAATCCATGTTCCTGTGTTCCTTTGCTTTCTCCTCTTGGTTGTAAATTGGAATTTGTGGCAAATGCTCTGCAACCACATCCAAAGAGATACAGTATTATAATTCTTACCCAAGGATCATACATACAAGGTTTTCCCGGTCACAATCTACACTTTTGTTTTCCCATTCACTTCAGAGCTCTCCAGTGAACACTGACTTCATTTCTGCAAGCCTAGGCTGAATTTCTACAAGTAAATAGTATGTTAAATCACTAATCTGGACTAGAAGATATCCTTGTATGTTACATGACTGTGAATTAAGATGGACTGTTTTCATACCATTTGCGAACCATACCAAATTTCACATATTCCTAAGTTATCCCAGAACACTTTTTCAAGCAAACTCAATGCCGAGCTTGGAAAATCAGTTTCACCACAACCAAACAGACTTGGGTCTGCACCAAAAGTGTTCGAAACATGTCCTCAAAGTATCCAGCATAAGTATATCTACATCCCCATATACCTATTTAACAATACAAGATGAGTCCTTAAGTGAGAGCATCACTTTTCTGTGTGAGAATATCCTATTAGACCATCAGAGCACAAGAGAAAGAAGTGCTCTCTTGTTGTGCGAGACAGAGGAGAGGAAATGTAATGCATGATAAAAGCAGTGCTTTGTGTGCAAATGCAGTTAAGTACATTTTGTGATTGGCCGAAGTGAAAAGCCCAAGTGTAAAGGAGGGGGGAAGTGATAATGTGCAACTTTTAAAAGAAAGGCAAGAGGAAGGCACGTAAAAGAAAGAGAAACAATGGATGAAAGCGGAAGAGGAGAAAGAGAGAGTACCATCTGAGCTTGGCAAATAAAGAGTGAGTGAAAGAGGTCA